AATACTCATTAGAAAAAATGATGTTTTAAAGCTAGACATTAGGAAATACACCTGTTATGATACATACTTGAGAAATTGATAGTGGCTTCCTTTTTGTAATTTTTTTTTTGTTCTACAGCTGTAATATATTGAAAAAACTTATGTTTATAATTTTGTGGCTGTTTAAAAGCTTTATTATTATTTTTCATTTTTCAGAATTCAGTTAATTTCCATTTACTAATCTACCACTCTCTCTCATATCTTTTGCTGGCTAATAGGAAGACAAAATATTTTTTTCTTTCAAGTTTGGACTACAGCTCATAAACCCAGTTTCCATTATATGTATTGATGTCAAGATGAGGAAAAACATCTTTTGAAAGTTTTACTCCTATTTGTCAAGGGTGCTATGTTATGATCACTATCACTTTAAGTAATTGGCATTTGTATTAAATATCAACTGAATAGAAATTGTAGATATTCCCTGATTTGTTGGTACATTCAGAATTTTATGTATCATTAGTTTGAATAAGTTTCTGGAGGATGATAACTCTATACATTGAATATAAAGTAGCAGCGTGCATACAAAATGAGTTGACATGAAAGTACTAGTTTTGGTTTTTGAATATTGTGTACCCGTTTTTCTTGCAAGGCATCTCTCTGTCTTTATTGAAACACTGGCTCTGTTGCAAGGCAATTATTCAAGTTAACAAAGAGGTGGGGATGGAGCAGTGAGGAAAGTCAAGGACTTAAAAGCCAAAACAGAGATCTTTAATTTGAATTTGTCCTGGCTTTTGGGTGAAGTTGCATGATGGTGTCTTTTCTTCAGAACCTTGGTGCAGTGCTTTGATCTGGTGCAGTCTCAGAGCAGATCAGTCTTGGGAAGCCACAGAGTGGTGTTTGTAAGATAGTGCTGGCCAAAACAGAGATCTTTAATTTGAATTTGTCCTGGCTTTTGGGTGAGTTGCATGATGGTATCTTTTCTTCAGATCCCTGGTGCAGTGCTTTGATCAGATGCAGTCTCAGAGCGGATCAGTCTTGGGAAGGCACAGAGTGGTGTTTGTAAGATAGTGCTATGCATTTGGTTTGGGTTTTCTTGCTGCTGAGGTGAAGTCCATCACACAGGTTGTTGGGGGGGTGCAATATAATGCAAATGGTTTGTGTTGTCCTGCACTACAGCTGTGCCATCAGCTGTGAGCCCCTGATGAGGACATTGCTGTGTGTTCCCTCTCGTGGCCATGCACCGAGCCAGAGTGGGGAACTGGTGCAGCCTAAAGCCGTGGCAGGAGGAGTCAGGCCTGGTTTGGTGAGAGCCCAGTCAGGCTCTCTGAGCCGCCCATCGTGCCTGTGCTGGCTCAGAGCTGCCAGGGCTTGCACAGCTGGGTGCAAGGAGCTGCTGGTGGGAGCAGCGCTGCCTCTGCAGCCCCAACACAAAGCTGTGACTGCTGCTGCTGTGTTCCTGTGGCTGCAGCCTGGAGGAGAGAGGGGAGCTGCACCTGCTGTGTCCCACAGCTGCCTGCGTGGTGACAGATTACAGATTTCTGCGTTGGCATGGCCAGCAAATGTGTACTTGTCCCTTATTTACTGGGTATGTAAAAATGCTTATCACTCTGAGCTTACAGCTGAAGGCACCCAGACCTGTCCTGCAGCATGCAAAGTGCTGTGTAATGCCAAATGCAAGGGAAATTGGGCACGTGGTGTTCACAGACACTTCTTCCATCTTCCTGTGCCAAGATCTCAGCCAGCTGAAGTGGAGTGGTGTCCTCTGGGGAGAGGTGAGCATGGAGGGGTTGGTGCTGAGCAGCAGCAGGGTGAGCTGGGGAGGCTGCCTGGCCTGGGGCCGGCAGTGTCAAAAATGAACAGGAAATTGATTTAGTGAGGCTCTGAGTACCTTGTGTTAAATGATCTATTGACTAAGAAAAAAAAAAAGAAATTAAAAATACTACTAATAAAAAGTGGAGTATGTACCAGCCAGGACAAGTTGTCTGTGTTATGTAGATTTTGCTGTTCCCTGGCTTTTAGATGCTTGCAGCTGTGATATTTCATTTCTATCATTACTGTGTGTGTAATCTATAACCTTCATCTAAGAACCACGACTCATTAATTAATCATTACCAAGGGCAAGACATGCAACAGCATCAAGTGTGCCAAATCCTCTCTCAAAGTTTTTGAGTGTCTGACTGCTCGTAGATAGCATCTCGGCAGTCCTGGCAGATTACTCTAAAGGACCAGATCTTGCAGCACGTACTCAATTTATGGGTTTTTATATCAGTTCTTCCAGTGGCACTCCAAGTAATTTGCAACTCTGCCTTCCATTTATTTAATCCTCTCCATACTGCTGGTCTGAGCCCTGCTGCTGAGGTTCCTAGAGCTGCTGGGCTGGCTGGGATGTGGATGGCAGCAGGGACCTGAGGGTGGCATTGCTGCAGATGGGCAACCCTGGAGTTTTTAGTGTTCATGATGTGGAGAGGAATTATGGAAATGGGCAAACTCTGCTGCACTGTCACTTCTCTTCTGAGAAACAGTGCACTCCATTTTAATGCTGCTTATGTAGTACCCGCTAAAATTATTTTTAAAGAATCCGCTATTATTCTAAGAGATGTCTGAAAGAAACAACTTCATTCCCTTTGACTTTGCTTCTTTTCTTGCTTGGTTTGGCTTGTTTGTAAATACTGGTCGATGTTTACAAACACTTCTCCCCTGCTCTCTTACAGAAAGCTACTTCAAGGCAAAAAAATATTAGAACTTGTCAGACTGTATTTTTAGTCAGTCTTGGTAACAAGTACTTTATTGACAACTCTGTAATGAAACATGAAACCTGTTTTGATTTTTGTTAACTAATTTTCTACATGGATTTATGGTGGGGGTTTTTTTGTTTGGCTTGTTTGGGCTTTGTTTGTTTCTTTTTTTATTCTGTTAGAGCTAGAAGGTTTCATTGTTCTTTGGACCTTCCACATATAAAGAGGGCAAAGGAGAAATTGAGAACTGAAATTGTAGCTGTATTGCACTTTTTTACAGTGTCATATGCTTTTACATCTCCTGTGACTTTGAAAAGCTGTGTACTTACTTCAGCCTGATTTTTAAAGTCATTTTTGCACGCTCTTGTCTCTTCCTTACGTATTGCTCCCTGTGAAGAGGTGACTCCAGCAGCACAGTGAGGGCCAGCACGGTGGCCAAGGGGGGTGACAGGCTGGCAGTGCCTGGGCTGGACCTGTCCCCTCCTGGTGAGCAGGGACTGTGCCCCAGCAGAGCCTGAGCAGGGGCACCCTGGGCTCCAAAGCCAAAAACCTTCTCAGCTGAGGTCACCAAGTGGCCACATGTCCTTCAGTGAGCCTGCAGCTCCCTGGGAGCAGTTTGAAAAGCCTGGGTGAGGTGGGCTTTGCTGAGGTTCAGAGATGTTTTCTTACTTGGTAGATTTTAGCTCTCACATATTAATTATTATTTTTCTTGGTAGCCCATCAGTGTCTGTATCTCTTTAACCCAGCACTGTTCTTATGGGTCTTGCTGTTCCAAATCCAGCAGCTCCTGAAATAGTGATACACAAACAGGGGAAGGTATAAAAGAATTAAAAATTGTAAGCAAATACTGTAAACGGCACAGAATTACCAGAGCAGGAGGGAGGTATTAGAAGTGTAATTTCCACTTAAGCATAGGTTGATAGGATTGCACAAAAGAAAGTAAGCATAATAGTGAAAATAAGGAGATTATGAAAGTAAAGACTGCATCCCAAACCCTAATTAGTGAGGTTACCTGCATTTCAGCTTTCACATTTGCTCATTAAAAGCACTGGGGTTTTTTTTTTTCACCTTGATTCATCTTCTTAGAAAATCTTATGCCACGATTCTGGCCATAAAGATTTTACATGATACTAATGAACAATGTGTATCCAATGCTTTGTCTTATTTAAAAAAAAAGATGCTTTATGAAAAGCTTTTGGCCTGAATACAATTATTCCTATTCATTTCCAGGGAGATAAACCTCAACAGTTAAGCAGTGCTAGTACATCAAGCTTCTTTTTTAACCAAAAATAAGTACCGTTAATTTAAATTCAGTGAAAGACACGGATAAAGCAGTGTTAAATGCTCTCACTGTTAAAAGAAAGTAGCTTAAAATTTCATGCATAACAAGAATTAGCTTGTCTTTATTGGTTTTTGTACATATGATGAAACATTTGGCTCTAATATTGATGGTTAACATGTCTGCTCCCCCCTCAGCCTGTGAGGATTTTGTGGTTTTTTGAGTGGGCTGCCATCAACTATTTGAATTTCTTTGGCAGAATGACCAATCATTTCTTCACCCTTTTTTCTTATTGCTCAGTTTCATAATGCAAGGTGAAACATATGTTTCTTTCCAAGTCATCCTAGATATGGTTTTGGCTCTGCCTGGATTGTTTCATTAACCAGGTGGAAATTGCTGAGGCTATGGACATATTAGATAATACTTGTTTTTCCAAAACCACTTTTGTGGATAATAGAAATCCTGAACAAAATGTGGGAATTAACAGGTATTAGAAGGTATTGCATGCTGAGAAAGAAAATAATAAATTGACAGAGAAAGCAAATGGTCTGTGAAGTGGTGACATCTAAGGCTATTTTAATTTAAACTTTTTGTTTTAAAAATGCCCAGTGGAAAAAGTGTCACAATGCTAAAGTTGTGGGAAATGCTGCTTAAGTTCGGAAATGATGTCTTTTTGTTCTTTTGAACTGAGTAGGGAAGATGTAGTTCTTTCTTATTTACTAGTTTAGCAGTGTAAAAATTAAATTACTAAGCAATCTCTGTTCTTGAGTGTCTGCATTTGGGACGGGAAAACAGGAAGCATATGGAAAGAGGAATCTAGAAGCTTTATTTTTTACATCTGGTGTGGTTAGATTGTGGGGTCCTTTTGGTGGTTAAAAACTGTAGTAGATAAATACTGTTAAATAAAATTTAATGGTCAAGCCTTTGCTTATTGTTATGGTTTTACAGGGGTTTTTTTGGTTGTTTGGGTTTTTTTTCTGAAAGTTATACTTATTTCTTTCTGACAGATCCATCTTGGTTTTCACTGCCTACCACAGTAAGAATTCCCTCTCACCTGATGAGCTAAAGACACGACCCCTAAGGACTGCCAGACTGAGCACTGCCTGGTCAGTGAGTACTCACAACCTGAGTTTTGTGTGCTGTTTGCTCACAGATGTGTTTATGTTGTTGGCCAAAGTGGTTCCATCTACGCTTCAAAAGTGCCTGGGAAGATCTCTGCAGGAAAGTGTTTTTGTAAAGGAAAGCAATTTTTCTCAGCACTTTGCTTTAAAGAATCTACTTCAGTCTTTTCCAGCCCAGCTGAATTACTTCAGAAGGCCCCACTAACAGAAATATGCCTTTTTCCTGTCTACCTGCATGTTCATTTGGGGATATTGCTCATCCTGACAAGTTCAGGATCAAGTGAGGGTGTTAGGAATTTATTGCTCCTGGCATCAAAATAATTTTTTCTCCAAATGAGCCTTTCGTTCAGAATCTGAACACTACAAAAATGTTTCAGTCTGTATGACTGGCTGCATACAGTTCTATATCTGTGTATAAGCAATATAAGCCATTCGGAGAAAAGACAAAGAGAAGAAACCTTCCCATTATCTGTTCTTTGATGGTGTCTCCAACTGCTGGTCAGAATGCTCACAAGACACCCTACATTTTAATTACTGTTCTACACATGCTCTGGGAATTCAGGTAATTACATAAAGTCCCACACTTGTCCCAGTGTGTCCAGCACTGGAAATGGGCTGTCCTGCTTAAGAGTAGCTGAAGAGTCAAGGCATCAAAACCTTTGGTTGATGGATTCCCGTCAGAAAAAAAAAACCAAAACCAAACCCTACTTATGTTCCAAAAACATCTGTCTTCTCTTATGGATTTTAATTTTACTGAGAATAATTTTCAGTGAGACACCTGAGAATTCTTTCTTGAGTAATTTAATTCAGTGGCAGTATTTCATGGGAAGCTACTTCCAGATTGTGCCTTTTCTAAATCACTAATTTGGAGTTAGTTTAATACAACATTTTAAATTGTTCCACTTGTCTTGAAAAGCATGGCAAAATAGTAGGGTTTCAATATGACAAGCACCAAATTCTGAGGGAATGCACACTGAAGAAAATTAACACATTCTTCTGCATTGTTTGCAATGGATCATTTGGTTGTCATTACGTATTTTCTACTGGAAAGTTGTTTTCTAACTCCAGGGCTGTTTCAGTTTTTAGGCCATTAAGATCGATGCTCCATACTTATAAAGTAAATTACTCCAAGGGTCTGACCTATAAATTTTCAAATTTTATGTAGTGTAAGAAAATTAAAATGAGAAAAATGAGATCCCTCAGTATAAGGAATCCTTGATCTGGTGGGATTATGGTGGTTTTAAAATTTATTTATATTATTTTACAGGTGTAAGTTTCATGACAGCTTTCTGCCATTTCTGTATGGTTAGAAATATGAAAATAAGGGATTCCTGAAATCTGTTTTGGCTCTTAATAAATGTATCTATCTAGGCTATGTATAAGTTATTTGTCTATGCTCTGTGTATATGTTCCTGTATTTAAGGGATCTTCATAGCCCATCTTGAAGTAGTTAAAGAACAGATTGACAAGTACTTCCCACAGCAAATTCCAGGAGAACAAACATTTAAGTGATAAAAGATACTGGTCCAGAAGCTCTCACTTTTGCCCTGTATCTCAACAGCAGTTTGTCAGGGAAAGGTTGCAGAAGTAGGTCCTTGGTGAGAATTTCAAACACCTGATAGCTCAATCTCAAAATCCCCTGCTGTAGTCTTGGTTTGGTTTTTTTTTTGCTGTCTGTTTTTTAAAATAACACCAAATGATCTCCTAGGGTCAGACAATAAGTCAGTAACAAAGCTGAACATGAAACCAAATTCATAATTCCCTGCAGCAATTGAGGTTGACAATATGCCTGCTTAAACTTTCAAAATGGTGACTAGATCCTGTGCATTACTTATTTTCATTGCTCTGGAAAATACTGAGGCCAGGAAGGATTTTCAGGTACTGAAGAAAAACTTTCTTCTTGCTCCCCATTCTGTGTCTGGGGGAATTTTCAGGGGTTGATTTGAGTCGAGACACAAGCTGGGACAGGGAGCTCAGTGCTGTTTGTGAGGAGCAGAGCTTTCCCTCCTGGCAGTGAGATATTTGCTTTAGAGGATCTTCAGCAGTTCCTCTAGCTGAGAGAGGGCTCTGTGAGGGGAGGAGCATCAGCACCACGAGATCCCCTGCAGCATGGTACAGCAGATGATTTGGGGTTTCATTTTGGGCTTTGGGCTTTTGGGAGATGTTCTGTCTTTATGTGGGAGTCTTCCTTAGCTGCAGGTTTGGGGTTGGGAATTTGCCCTGGTTCTGTCCCAGGTGCTGGTGGCACCACTTGTTTTCAGCCTGCTGTCGGTACTGTTTGTTCTTTATTCACTCCTAAACTTGTGTTCCGGTGGATTTCCTGGTGTGATGAGGATGTGCTGGTAACTTCCCAGTTAATTCCCTTTCGTATGGCTTGCCCAGCCCTCCAGCTCTGCCTGTTTCTGCCTTATGTTCTTTATGCATCTGTCAAAAACTTACTGTCAGTTCCCAAACCACTGTTGAGACTCATCTCCCTCCACTGTGCCCTTCCCCAGCATCCTCTGTATTCTTCAGAGGCCATGGCTGTGACATCAATATTTCAGCGTATTTGTTAGGTTTTGTTTGTTTTTTTTTTTTAATTTTCTTTCTTTTCAACAAAGGCTGCTATCACCCCATCATGGTGGATCAAAGCCTTTAGAAAGTAACTACCTTAGAGGAAAAAGTTTAACTTCTTGAGCAAAACCCTTCTGGACTTGTCCTCCAGGGAGGACTGAGTTTCTTAGCTTTATACATCTTGACAGGAAATTCACGTCTTCTGAGGGAGTTGGAAGAAAACAGCCTCTTCATCACTGCCAACTTCTGTGCTCTTCTTAGTTCCAGGTCTGGAGGATGAAAATTTTTTGGCATTTTTAGTGCTGCCACCCTGAAAAAAGAGCATATTCTATATGGTTTGAAAACCTTCTGTAAACTCCCATTGGTATGAATAGTCAAAACTACTTCAGCAAATTACTGAAGAAGCCTTCTTTTTACTGTCAGACTTGGATGCCTCTACCATATTTGGTTTATTAGTTTGCAGTGATTTTGAAAGGGAACAAAAGTTGACAAATAATGTGTTCTTAAGTATTTGTACCTTTTCTTTCTTAGGCAACAAACTCACAATCAGAGCTTGATAAGTATTAGTACTCACAAATGGAGCCACAAAACCAATGCAACTTCTGCTATTGATTTTTCTCCTGAGTAACTCTTGGCAGCAAAGGCAGGTTACCATCCCGTGTAAGCATCAAACTTACTTAGAGTAAATTACTCTAAATTATAAACCAACCAATAAATCAGCATTGCTACAGTGTTGCCCTCCTGTTCCTCACTCCATACCTGAAGTGTGTATCCCAAATAAGAATCAATGCATCACAAAATTGTTTTAATTTTATTTTTAATTAAATGCAGAAAAATGGATGCTGTTCTGGAATTGCCAGCAATAACTAAGCCTGAGTAAAGAGCTGGGACATATATGCAATTAAAATTCACATTGCAATCTGATAATTAAAGAAGTAGAATTAAGGTGTTGCCCATGCTTTTGTAAATTATGCCATATCAGCAAGTACCATTTTTTTTAAGTTTTGTCTTTGTTATGAAGCTCAGTAAGGCATTAATGGGGCTAACCAGTTTTACAAGTGGTTTTAAATTTATGCCCACACATTGGCCTTAGCACTGCAAGCAAGCATATTTGTTGAGAGAAAAATTTATTTGGCAACATTCTTTAAGACACAAGATTTGATATGAGAAGATGCAGCACTGCTATTTCCCAAGTACTGCATGACCAGATGAGAAATTGAATATTACTTTGGATAAATTCCGGCCTCTGTCAGATGTATGGAAGATGGGAATAATTCAAGCAGAACAGTAAGCCTAGGATAATTAAAAAATAAATTACTGTACCTTAAAATATTTCAGTGGACTCTAGATATGAGTGTTCAGACTGAGAAGGATGTAGTGAGAAAAACTAACTATATGAAAATACCAAATTATCACTAAAGGTCAAGTAAAAATGTACTGGAAAAGATAACTGGATATTTGACGTCCTCTTGTTTGTTTTGCTTGGGGGTTTTTTTTGACTACTATGTAGCATACTACGTTGACAGTTGATAAATAGATGCTGATAATATTTGCTATTTTATGAACATTCTCTTTGAGTCATGTACAAATTTTGTTAACAATAATCTACATTCTATGCCATGACATTATATAATTCATGTATTCTTCGAATATTTCAATGGGATATGAAATTTTGTGTGAAAAAGGACAGTGTATAATTTGTTTCTTTTTCATAAACTTGAGTTGGTTATGAGCCTCGCTGTGAAAAAGGCTCTGTGAGGAAAAAATATTTGAGTTTTGACCTTTGATTTTTCTAACTAAGAGCAAGTTTTAATCTGTGTCATAGTTTTAAAAAGAAAACTCATCTTTTGCCTTGTATGGGAGTGTGGGTGAAAGGGTGGGGGGAAATGCTGTAGGTATTCAGGCTGGCCTAGAGTGGCAGCTTGAGGGAAATGTTAGGATAACTATCTGAATGCTTCTTAGAGTGAGACTGAAGGGGACAGGTCTCTCCTAGAAACTCCAGAAATGACATCCTGTGCATTCTGGGGCTATTCTTGGAGAGCCCAAAGAAAACAATTACAGCTCATAACAGATGGTTCTCTATGAAATAGTCTGTGTAACCTGCTGCAAACACTTAATAGGGGTATGATGTGAAGGAAAATATAAAATCCTGTCTGTGGTGCAGTAATCTGCCCTTGATTTATGGTTTTATTTCTTCCTTCCTGTACTGGAAACTCAGCACTGACAAGTCTAGATTTTTGTGCAGCTGATTCTGAAGTCTTCGTGGAAACTTGGTGGGGTTTCAAAAGAAGTTCTATGTGTTTGAGAATAATGTAGCCCTTCCTGTTTGATGATGAACCTTGGGCTGAACTATTTCAGAGTGAAATAGTTTCCCTGTGAAAGGGGAAGGTTCTCAGTCAGCATCTGTCCTGGAAGAAACCCTCTTTCTGTAA